CTCCTCCTCCAGAAGTACAAACTATCCCTCCTCCAAAATCCCAACGATCACACTGCTGTTTGCTTTTGTAGTAGATGTACTGGTATTGAAATGCTCAGACACTTGAGAACCGGAAGACAGCACTGATAATCAAAGCTGTCAACCGTTTTCTGTCCATTTGCCAAAGCTGCCCAGTTTCTCCTTTCTATTCCCCAAGCCTTAACCGCCCCTTGAATGCGCTCCCTCTGCCTTTCAACTTCCTGCCAACTCCAGATTACCCTTTTCTTCCCTTTCTCAATACCCTCTTAGGTCCCAGCCATGCTTAATGTTAGCAATGGAAAGGACTTCATATTGATCTGAAAGCGTAGATGTATTTATTTTATGGGAAGGCAGGTGAAGCATGAGTGCTGTGGAATTTGCACTTTAGTTTTGTTAAAATACAAGAAGCTATTTTAAAACTTTATTTTGCATCTCTATCTTTAGCAATGTGATTCAGATTTTTGATCCCCTTGCATCAGCAGCAAACCCTCCAGCCTGCTGCTGATACATCAGGACCCATAGTGCTGAACTTCCACACTCACCAGCAGCACAAGCATAAGGAAGTTTAGAAATAAATCATTTGTATAAAATTCAGGGAAGCATAACAAGTGTGGGACAAAGGAGAGAAGCTAGTTTCAAACAGTTTAACCTCAGTGGGATTTCAAACCATTTGAAAATGCGTGCGGTAAAGGAAGACTTTGGGCAGGGGTATATATAAGGGGGTAATTTCATAACATTAGTTCTGCCACAAATCCTTCAGTAATGGTTACCTTATTACATAAACAGAGATGTGGTAATAAAGTATTTTACAGAACAGAAATAAATACAAGAAAGGATGCTGCAAAACAGAATGACTAATTGCACTCAGTACACAGTATCTCATGAAATCAGAATCTAATGATCTTCAGATAGGCAAGTTAAGAGAAATTATAGGTACTTTCAATTTTATTTACACCTTCAGCAGATCTAAAATAGCTCAAATTAGAATCTGACTGTCCTAGGATTAGAACACTCATACAACATTCACCCCCTTGCAATCAACAGCTCTTGATATGGCATGGGATGACTTCAGACAGAGGGAAAACACCAAGGGTGATGGCCAAGCAGGAAGAGCAAGTTGGAAGCAAGCACACGAACATACCCATGGAAGTACTAAGAATCAGAGGAAAATGATTCATGACTGCCTCTACATGCCAGAAGGATGCATCCATCTACAAACAAGGACATTTGATGCTGCAAAGCTCCCCTTAGCAGCAGATCTGGCATCACTCAGCACTATGGTTTTTCACAAGAGCATTTCCCTGGAATAAAGTGTTCAAGGGGGTATATCCTGTGCCTAAACACTGTGCCCATACACCAGCACTGCCATACTGGAAACCTCCTCAGCACTGCCAGCTTACAGCCTGGTGCTGTGAGAGCAATACAGTCAAGCCTGAAGGAGTATTTACAGAAAGCAAAGCACGCAGGTTTATTTCAACTGATGTAATTGTAATATACAGCATTAACACTGCAGAGAACTTCTACCTAGGATTGAAGAACTGCTTCCTTTTTTTTTTTTTTCTTAATTGAAACAGAAAAGAATATCTGTAGCAAACTAGGTTAGATGGGAACAGGGAGAATTAAATACTTACATGGCACAAGAACAAGTTGACTTTTTGTAAGGAAAGCCAAAGCACAGTGTTTGCTAGACAGCTTTGCTCCAAAGCCCCCCTCCCAAAGCACTATGGGCAGTGTTAATTAACAGCTACTCTTTGAATCTGAAGCTCCATCTTTTTACAAAAGCTGTGCTGGTATTGCAATTGGGAAAACAAGGGAATTTGGAGGTCCTGGACAATGACAAGGTGAATACAAATGAGCAGTGCCCTGGCAGCCAGGAGGGCCAAGTATGTCCTGGGGGCATCAGGCACAGCATGGCCAGCTGGGCAAGGGAGGGATTGTCCTGCTCTGCTCTGAGCTGGGGCAGCCTCACACCTCGAGTGCTGGGGGCAGTTCTGGGTGCAATGTAAAAACGATATTAAACCATTAGAGAGCTTCCAAAGGAGGGCAACAGAGATGGTGAAGGGCCTTAAGGTGAAGCTGCATGAGGAGCAGCTGAGGGCACTTGGTCTGTTCAGCCTGGAGGAGACTGAGGGGAGACCTCAGTGCAGTTACAGCTTCTTGTGAGGGGAAGAGGAGGGACAGACCCTGATCTCTGCTCTGTAGTGACAGTGACAGGACCTGAGGGAATGGCCTGAAGTTGTGCCAAGGGAGGTTTAGGTTGGATATCAGGAAAAGGTTCTTCACCCAGAGGGTGCTTGGGCACTGGAACAGCTCCCCAGGGCAGTGGTCACAGCACCAGCCTGACAGAGTTCAAGAAGTGTTTGGACAGTGCTCTTGGGAACATGGGGTGACTCTTGGGGATGGTGCTGTGCAGAGTCCGGGAGTTGGACTTGATGATCCTTGTGGGTCCGTTTCACCTCATTCTGTGTAACACTCTTAGCTGCAGCTCACAATGGAAAATTAGCTTCAGGAAACCAGGGAAGCTAAAGAGAGTTGAGAAGATGAAGGGAAAAAAGCTGAGTCCAGAGGGCCATAAGGATTTTACCTTTCATTTCTGGTCTATTTCCTTTACTCAAAAGCCACATGCAAGAAAGTCTTAAAAATTTTTCTCTCCTTTAATAATGGGATTCCTGTAATATCTGTCTGTGTACTTCACTCAAACCAACTTTATACTTCCACTGGAGAAAAATAAAGTTACAGTCCCCAAAAGTCTATTTTAATGAACCTTCTTGGTCAAAATGTTGCATTTTCTAACAGAAGCAATGAGAGTACAGCCAGTAGGACGAAGGATGGAGAAGCCCAGCCTTGCATGACCATTACATTCAAGAGCACTGTGTACTCAATACAGTATGCTTCAACTTGTGTTTTCTTTAAATGCCCATGCCTCATAATTGCATAATAAAATTTTAAAAGAAGGAAGAAAAAAAGAGTGACAAGTGGGACTTTCCTTCCACATGTCTCTCATTTCCTCCAACACCTGCACCTGCAGCACGAAATCTGAACACCAAGAACATTTGTCATCCACCTGCCCACTCCTCCTGCCAAAATCCTGCACCAAGCTCTGAATCCAGGGGACATCCCAGAATAACTCAAAGTATGGAGATGTATAATTCTTGATTACCTCCTTTGCATTTAGTAGCTTGACACATGAAAGTTTGCCATCTAATCTATAAAAGTATTTAAAATTCTCCTGCACATGTGAAACACTGTACAGAGCAAAAAAAAGGCTGTGTGCAGTTATCCTGTAAACAAGATTTAGCTATAAAGAAGTTATCTCAGGTTCACATGCTGACTAGATACAACAATCCAATAAAAAGTGAAGGAATTAGAAGACCATGAAAGCTGAGCATGACAGTCATGAAGGTAATGCTACACCATGCAAATCTGACTCGTACAGGGAGAAGAGTGCACATAAAACCTGAATTAAGATGCCCTGCTAAGATGTGAAACTACAACCCCTGTGTTCAGGTAGGTAATTGACACCTTTTGGAGGACACTTGTGTTTTGGAAACCAGATCACACTGAAAAAGCACACAAACAAGTCACCATTAGGCAAGTTACAGTATGTTAAGTATTTATTTGTGTGCTTACTCTTTCCAATGCTTGTGGGGTCACACCTGGAGTGCTGTGGGAGAGGTGAAATTCTCTGGTGAGCCCTAGCACACAAAATTACATGCAATACACTGAAGTAGTTACGTTCCTCAGTACAAGAGAATTTTTATACTTTTACCTGAAAGAAGAAAGGATGTATACTGGCACTATAAATGCACCCCAGTGCTTGCCTTGCTGCCATTTCTTTATACAGTCAGCCATGCTATGAGAAGTCAATCTTAAGACTTTTCTATGTTCTGGCTGTACACCTGTGAGATCCTATGTGGCTACATACATGTGGAACCTTCATTTTAAGATGCTAAACATCATGCCAGACTGTACCATCATCCGTAAGTAAACAGTACGAACAGAGGTCAGGCACGTATGAATGACAGTTGGCTTCAAATAGAAGAAAGTACAAAAAAAAAATTCCTCATTTTCCCATCATTCTGAGAATCAAAAGAAGAAAAAAATTACTTTATGTACAAGTGTTATGCCATGGCATTGTGCTGCTCAGGACAGAATCCTAACCACTATGTGCCCTGTTAAACCCTCTTGCCTTCAAACAGTAAAAAAAGGAATAGGCTCATTATTCAGAACATCCACTACCTTCAGGATCTAACTGCCTTTCTAAAGGATAAAGGTGCTAACACTATAATTTTTAACCTTGTTCCTACCCAGGATGCACAAGGAGTACTGAAAGTGAAGATGACACGTCCCAGCATATGGACAGAAAACAGAGAGACAGGAGATTTGTTACAGATGCATTTGTCAGATCACTCCCCTGCACCTTCCCCTTCTTGTACAACACTTCACACATCTGTAAATTGCTAATGTTGCCAAAATCATGCAGCCAGCTAACAGCATTTCTGTTACAGAAGCTCAGGGCTGAAAAGTCTGGTGAGTCCTGAGGAGCTGAATATCCTTGCCTGCACCAGACCCATATCAAACTAACTTCTGAGAACCAGCAAGTTTTGGGGTACCAAATCATTGCTATGACAAAGGCCCATGAAAGAGGATTGACTCCTGGAGTAGTTAGAAAAGAAAGCATTGGTACCTGCACATTTCCTTTGATTTTGGCAGCACTTTCCAAAATGTTACTTGATCAAAAGACCCTGCTTCAGGAGGCAAGTACTGCGGTTTCTTATTTTTAAGTATTTTATTATTTGTTTTAAGGGTAGAAAGACCAGCCAACCAATTAAAAAGAAATTCTGTAATGGTACAGCTGCATGTGATCTTATCACTTACTCCTTCTATGAACTTTAAATAGACTACTGGAGGAAAAAAACTCCACATATCTGGCAATTTCCAAGATGTTTTCTGCAAGCTCATAATACAAAGGCTTCAGTTACCTGCAGAAGTCAGGCAGTGAATTCCAGGAAAATAAGTACCTTCCTCCAAATTTTAGCCGTTCTTTTCTTTCAATAACAGGTATCGAATTCTTGGTGCAGTGAAAACCCTGCTGCCATTAAAACCTGTTTCAAGGAAGAACACACCTAAACTGAACCCTCAGCTCCAGCACTAAGACGCAGAAGGTTTTGCTACATTTGCTTCATACTTTCACAAGCACTGAAGCAACAGCAGGGTCAGCACTGTAACCTGATGTAATATATCTGCTTTAAATACAGGGACTTTAAAAGCAATACCAACCAAACTGCAGGCAACAGGTTTCCTTCCCAACCCTGCAGCTGTCCCATTCTCTGCAGGGCAGCAGTCCTCTGGAAAAGGGGGCACCAGACATGCCTCCTCTGCCTCACTGTGTGTGCAAAGCCTCTTAAACAAAATCTTCAGTAACTTACTCAAGATAAGCATCTCCATCCATCTGGTTGTGATGCCAGCTCACACCCATCAGCAACCCTCAGGTTCAGGGTCATCATATCACCCAATCCTTGTTCTAGCTTCTCCATTCAGCCTGCTCCCCTCTATAACCATAACCATATAACCATCTATACAGCCATACCCAGGGCGTGTGCTGTAACAAGGAACAGACAGGAACAGATTTGACACTGCTGCAAGGCTGTTTTCATTCCTCCCCTGCTCTCCACCCTGCCCGGGTGGAAGGAACCTGGAAAAACTCAGGTAGCCCCAAAGAAACCAACTAAGCAAGACCAGCTTTCAGCCAGGTCCATCCCACTGCTGATTTCCTGCAGGAGAAGCAGCAGCACGACACAGACACGTGGGTGATGAAGAGGCCTTACATGGCTGAGGACGAGCAAAGCCATCACACTGCACCCAGCAAGGAACCATTAGCAAAAAGAAAGGCAAATGAAACACACGAACAAAATCGAAGATGTAAGTGTCTAATGAAGAACTCTAAAATGCAGTTAAGAGGAGGCCAAAATATAATGCACTGCACAATCATAATTTTACATATAAGAATGGTTCTAGTGAAAAGCACAAAATAACAAAAGGTCATACAGGATAAATCACACAAAGCTAACTTAGAAGATTTCTTAAATATAATTGTAGCAGCATGAACTGACAGATTATTGCATTGTAAAAGCAAAAACCAACAAAAATCCCAACCTTGATTTGGTCAAACTATGAACTAGACTAGGATGTCTTAGGTCTATTTCTGTCTTGAATACTACAGGATTAAGGATGGTCTCAAGGCAGGTCAGGTAGGGGAAGGGGGGAAAGTTTACCATCAAGAGACCAAACACATGAAGAACCAACAAAATGTTTATTTCAAGAACAGGCAACTTGAATGTTTTATTCAAGCTAAACACAGCTAAGTATTCCAAGAGAAACAGTGCTAATGACAATAAATACACAGAAAAAGATTGAAATAAAAAGCTAAGCAGACAGTGAATACAACCAAAACCTCTTGCTACACCCTGGCCAGTCTGCAGCTGAGGGCCTTGAGGACAGAGAGGAAGAATCTCCTTTACTTCTCAGCCTTATACGTTATACTGTAAAAAACACGTTATGCTGTAAAAAACATCAAACAACATCAACCTTACTAGTGATTTGAGACACATCTTGAACACAGTAGCCCATGATTAAACTTCAATGGGAAGTCTGACTTTCTGATAATATTTGGTATTTTACTTGATGCCCAAAGCTTATTGTTAAATTTGTTAGATGAGGAAAACACATCACTATGCAATTAGTGATTTACACATAGAAACAATGCTGACTGCAGCAACGTGAAAACCTAACTTACAATGTATTTTGTAAGTGCTCATATTCTGCCAGGAGTGAAAGGACAGAATCAAGTGGTGTTTCATCATCAACACTTGTAAAGCAACTCTTTAAAGTCTGGGCAAAAGACGTGCTCTTCAACCTCTATATTAAGACTCTGCACATTAATTATAAAAATGTCAACATATTAAAAGTTGCTCAGCAAGTAAACCCTGAACATTCTGAGTGTACCTATTTCATACGTGTTTTGTACAGACTATGTAGGATACAGAATAATGCTTCGGACAATTAAATTGCTTATTCATGTCAGCAGCTGAGTCTTCCCCTCTGGAATCTCACCACATCTCTATTTTTGCTGTATGCTAAAAGCAAAACATGTTTTTGTGCAAAAAACTCTTTCATTAAGCAATTTTTCAAGTATCAAAACACCATTCATGTAGTTGCTAGTTATTCTTCCACAATGTTTTTATCTCTGTGTAATACAAGCCCTCCACATAGATGTGTCATCTCTAAACCAAACAGCAGTGAAAGGATCCTTCAATTAAACAGACCTATTATTCTTAACCAAGGAGTTAAATGCTCAAGTTCATATCCCCACACTGGAACTGGTATGTGGTGGGGTAATAAGGGTAGGGAAAAAACCAAAAATTAAAAACTACCAAAAAACCTTTGTTAATATTCTGGTCTCATGTTAATGACTGACAGCTTAGGGGAGAATTTGGTATGAATCTCAAAAGAGCAATGATGCTGTGAGGATGTGCCAGAACCACCAATAGCTGATTAGAGCTTCTTCACTGGTTCAGTGAAAAACTCAGCCTTGCTCCTCTCTTCTGCAAAACAACCCTTCAGGGTGTTGGGCGAGTAAGATTTTTAAAAAGACTGAAAAATAGATACAGACAAACATATGAAAGTGCAAAAAGGTGCAGAAACAAAAAATTAAGTAAGGAGAGAGGTGGTAAACTACATAACATCTCTGCTAGGCTTCTTCACATGTGCACTTGGCCACTCAAGTCACTGCAGGTTCAAAGATGGTCATCTCCTTCCAAGGCCATGCATCTCTCCTTTGAAGGCAACACAACACTAAAGGATGTTAATAAAACACTCCAAGACAATTGTTTCTCATATACTGCAAAATCTAGTTAAAATCTGGCAACATTACTGAGTTCTCACAGAGAAACATCTCTGCTTCTCATCCTTCAGGATGCAAAACTGTATTTTAACAGCTTCCTAAAGGTGTATTTTAAGACACAAAGTCAATCCCACAAATGCTTAGAAAACTGGGCTGCGCTATATGCAACCGATACCTGAGCTGATGCATCATTTGAGCCTGACGTGTTTTGTGAAACCAAAAAGTATTCAGTCTGCACAACTGGAAATTCATCATAGCTCTGCAATTGTTCAACTAGAGTTTAGATTTGAGTCTCTGATCTAAACAAGCCCAGCAGAGAATTCAGAATGTATGAGTCAATTAAGACAGATTTCAAAAAAAAAGAGAAACATTTGAAAATAACATTAGCAGTCCCTTCCTGCATAATGCAACCACTTAGCAGTGGCGATAGAAGAAATCAATACAAAGAAGTACCAGAGGATACTATTTTTATTCTGCAAGGCATGAGCAGACTTGCAGCCTGCTTTTGTGTGCTTCAAAGGGAGATGATGATGGTTTTGAAAGGGCTAAAAAAAGAATAAAGAAGTTAGAGGTTCTGGGAACCTGTCAAGTAAAAATGGAGAATCGGGTATAGCCTCTGGAAAATTACTTGGGAACCTAATGAAGGCTGCAAAACCAGAGGACAGTGTCATGGTTTGACTCTAGCTGATAAATAACATCCCACAGCTGCTTGCTCACCCCTCTAGAGACCTGGTGGAACACAGAAGAGAATCAGAAAAAGGTAAAGCCTGTGGGTTAAGAGATAAGAACAGTTTAATAAATGAACTAAAATTAACAATTACAATATCTACAATAATAATGATGAAAAAGGAGGTAAAAAAGAGAGGGAGGAATAAAACCCAAGAAAGCCAAGTGATGCACAATACAACTGCTCACCACTCACTGACCAATGCCCAGACAGTCCCTGAGCAGTGACTGGTCCCTCCCAGCCAACTCTCCTCAGTTTACACACTGACCATGACATTCTGCAGTATGGAATATCCCTTTGGCCAGTTTGGGTCAGCTGTCCTAATTGTGCTTCCTCCTGGTTTCTTATGCACCTGCTCACTCACTGGCAGAGCATGGAACACTGAAAAGTCCTTGATTTAGAGTACACCCTGTTCAGCAGCAATTTAAACATCACTGTGTTATCAACATTATTCTCATACTAAACCCAAAACACAGAACTGTACCAGCTACTAAGAAGAAAATTATTCCAGACAAAACTAGGCCACAGAGCTCTTACTATTAAAACTCACATGACAAATGGTCTGACACCATCAACTCTAAAAATGACAGCCATGCAGAATTTTTACCTGTAAGTAGAGGCAGCAGCAACAACTCATGCATTAGCAGGGTAATGATCTACACTGAAATACAGCGGCCTTTCTGTACCTGTATTACTATCATTTTACTCCTCATTTTTAACTGAGCAAACAAATGCAGTACTCCTTTCTGACTTGCTCAGTGTCATCTCTCTCAATCTCTGTGTAAGGATCTTCCACCATATTGGTGGTGTTCCCTCATACTTATGTTCTCCTCCAGTCCTTACACTGTATTTTAAGCTCTTACAGATGGTGATGGAGATATTTGCATAAAACTTCCCAGCCCAGTCTAGTGGCTGGGGCCTGGCAAATCTAGCCACCTCTCCTACAGCCAGAGAAAACAAGAGGATGCAGAAGCAACCATGGTCTAAAAGCTGTGCCTTCTGGGTGGCAGACAAGTCAGAATTAAAAAAAAAAAATATGAAAAAATCTGCTCAAATTTTTTGAAAGCAGCTTTTCTGCTTAGGCCTACTAAACTGGCAGCTTACTTTCTGTCACTGTACCACATATGTTAACAAAAAAAGAACATTCTGCACCATGTTGTACAAACACAGGTATTTTCCCCATTAATGAGGCTTTATGCATGCACAAAGTCACACTCGTAAGATTAATGCAAACCGTAACAACATGCCAAAAGGCCACTATACACCAAGTGAATCAAGGGATAAATGTATTATGCAAGGGATAAATGCATGACCCTAATTTAGGGCAACCAGCTGAGTTCACAGGGTCTGTGACCAGCTAAGAGCAACCTCTCCACATCAGTACTGCAAAACAGAAATGAACCACCAAACCACAATCAGACATTCACCATAAGCATCTGCTGCCCTGCAATCCACCGAAGCACATACATAAAATGCCAGCACAGCTTTCACTGTGTACTTCAAAGCCAACTCCAGATTCGTGTGCCTCTCCCAAGAGTGGCCTTCAGCTACCACAGGAGCCCTTCCTCAAAAGCGTGCAAGCAGCCATATGAATGAAATGACCCCACAGATGGTTTCCAGCAAGCACACAGGCCATGCACCCGAATAAGATGACATTTGAACTTCAACAAGCAAAAAGATTCCTCAAGCTTCTTTTTCTAAAGGGCAGGACAATGTTCAACATCGAAGAATGTCATGCTCCTAACCGGTTAAAGGTTTAATCATTGTTATTTAAGTCAAAGGTTCTCCCTACTGTTTGGCAAGGAGATGATTCTCAAAATGATGATTCAAAACACTAAAAGTAATCCAAGAGCAGGAAATATTCCTTCAGGAAAAGGTTAACTGAAGCTTTCTGATTCAATTTTATGCATAGAGATAGCATATCTAAAGGGAAGCCTACACAGATTAAGGTATCCTCATTGTCTCAAGTGAACCCAAACCTAAGGACACTGGATCAGCTCAGTGACTAGACATCTCCATTCTATGCTGACAGTGATACAGTAGTGGCAATGAAAGAGTAGATTTCTTTTATTCATTTCTAAGAGCCTCAAGATCTCTATTTAAATATAGGTGTCATGGTTTTAACTCTGCAGAGGAGCTGCTCCTCCACAAAGCTGTGGTCTGCTCCAAACCTTAACCATATGGCATCTAAAAGGAAAGAAGGCATTTTCCCACTAGCACTTGCTAAGGGCTCTTTAGTCAACACAGGCACAGCAGAAATACTGCTTTAACCCTAAATGCTTCCCAGCAATCTTTTAACAGCAAAAAGTGAGGGAGAAAAAAAAAAAGAAAAAGGGGCAAACTTGCCTTCTTATGAATTAACTAGCTAAACATATGAGGTGTATTAGGTTTAATAAACTAAATTACATTCTTCTGCAAATTAATACTTGTTCATTTTTGTCTAATCCTGATAACATCCTTAAGATGACACCAACAAAAACCCCCATTGGCATACAGAAAAGCTGGAGTGTTACCTGAAATCAAGACTACATCCTTTTTGAAATCATGTACATGTTTTAAAGCAGAGAGCCTGAACATGCGCATAGGAAGAAAGCAATTACCCTCCAGTCACTGCAAAGACAGCTGGCAAGAAGAGAAACAGTTTTCTCAAGGTCAAGAGGAAGAGGAGCGCTTCCAAGTGATAACAGAAGAACAGTCACTTTGTTCAAATCACTGACCCAGAGTCTCAAAGAGGAGGGTTATGTAGGGATCAAAGCGCAGGGCATAATTTGAAAATGCAGGAAAAGAGGTTTATTCCACATTCACTGTATTGCACAAGCAGGTTTTATCTCCTGTAAATGCTAGGGCAACTCAGCATATTTAGTCACTGCCCAAAGCATATCAGTTTTCAAGCAAATATTTGATATGAAGTTTTGACACACAGGTCGATTAAACACAAACAACTTCAGCTTAAATACAAGTTTATGAAATGCCTGTATATTTCTACCTGCCCAGTACGCCACAGGTCATTAACAAAGCTATAATTAATGAAGCACAACCTCTACAGTTAATAAAGTTTTAATAAGGACATGAAAAATACCCAGTTGCAATGGGATGCCAAAGCCAGTTGAACTCACAGCACTGAGCTCAGCACAAGTAGCATGATTCGTCTGTTCATGGAGAAGTAACAATTGCATTTAGCAGCATACATTTTTTGTAAAAACACACCTGGT